ATTCTTGAATAGAAAAGAATTCCAAATAGGAATGCAAGAATCTATCACATTTTTCATTTTGGTTTTTTAAATGATTGTTTTAAAAATCCAGCATTACACAGTTATATTTAAAAAGTATAGCAGGCAGATTTTATTATATATATTAGTAATAAAATGAAAGAGAGAAAGAGATGATGATGATGAAGAAGAAGAAGAAGAAGAAGAAGAAGAAGAAGAAGAAGAAGAAGAAGAAGAAGAAGAAGAAGAAGAAGAAGAAGAAGAAGAAGAAGAAGAAGAAGAAGAAGAAGAAGAAGATTGGAACCTGTATTTACTCTGGAAATTCAAGAGTGAGAAGAAGAAGAAGAAGAAGAAGAAGAAGATTGGAACCTGTATTTACTCTGGAAATTCAAGAGTGAGTCTGAAACTCAATCTTACACAATTGTGGGGGGGTTTTTTCCAGTACAAATCTCATTGGTTTGAATCACATTAGACAGTTAATGACTCTGTGTCTTTGTCTTTGTGTCTTTAGCGATATGCATGTTTTTGTTGCTTTGCCAAATCATATAATAAAGTAAGTTAGTTGAATAGTAAAAAAAAGATTATTGGGGGGACGGAGAGATGGGAAGAAATCAGCCAAATTCCTAGTGTCCTAACATTCACAACTGAAGAATTAAATCTAAGAATACACTTAAGATATTTAACCATTTCTTTCAGACTTTACAAAATTCCTTCAGGTATTACTGCTCTGTTTTCTCCATATTAGCAAATATATACAAACCATTCTAAATATATATATATAGAGAGAGAGAGAAAAGGAGAGTACAGATTTATTAAATATAGATTAGATACTGCATAAATGTTGATGGAAAAAATGTCCATATAACTTTGTAATCCTGCAAAATATCTAATAGTAATATAATTGAAAATTGAACTAAAAATTAATTTTATTGTTTACAGTGAAGGTAGCATCAAAAGGTGACTTATGTGCATGGCTAAGATAGCATTATTCAGGCATGATTTTACTATCTTCTGACATAATCTCAGAGTTATATTTGTTTTAATGAAGTCATTGAAAGCTATTAAATTATGAAAATTCAAGTAGTGACAATCAAATTACACAGATGCATCCTGATCACCAGGGACCTATACTTTATTCTGTTCTAATACTGGTTTCAGTAGATTTCAAAGATCTTTCAAAATGCAAAGATTTTCAACTTTCTGAATATATTCACCTTCACTGAAGCCCATGTTTTAGGTCCATGGTACAACATATTGTGGAATAAAGATCCAGTAGAATATTGATTGGCCATTTTCTGTTATTTTAGAAAATATCAGGTAAATGTTCTTCAGTCTCTTTATTTTGCACACACACACTCAAACACAAACACAGACATTTTTACTTTAACTTTGTTTTGTTTCTGTATTTCTTTTTTTTTCTGTTAGTTAACCTGGATCTTTTATAATTAATAACAACAATAATAATGGTGATGTGTAGAAATAATTTTCCATCAGCATTCTCCACTAAGATTTACAGTTTAGCTTCTCTTCAAAATGAGCTCATAAACTTCAAGGAAGAGTGTAAGTTTTCCTCCATTACACTTTGGAGAGACAAAAAAGCAGCACATATTTTGATAATTATGCACTGTCAAATGAAAGCCTAGATCAGCTAGTAGAAGGTTGCTACATGTTTCTTACGTGTGCACTGAAGTGTTCTATATCTTTTTATTAAACAGAGGAACTTACACAGTATGATTGTGCAAATCTAAACAGTGGTACTTCAGAATACATGAGAGCATATAACTAAGTAATTTTTCAGATTATTTTAGTGGCCACATCTTTTTCCAATCAATCCAGTAAATGCACCTGGTTTGAAAGATGTTCAAGTGGCTATATATGTGGACACAGTAAGAAGCTGCTTCTGAAGAATGGCTGGAAAAGATGCTGCTACTTTTACAATCTGAAATAAAGTGCTTTATATCCACTCCTGTGTATTCTAAAAAAATCAGTATGAAGATTTGCATAACTACTGTATATAGCAAATGATATTTCTTGTGTTTCAATAATCAATATCCTTTTAAAAGGTCTATAGCACATATGGAAAATGTTTTATTCAATTTAATTGTGGGATTAAGAAAATAATTTTGTTGTTTATGTTAACTGGAGATTCACTGCTATAAACAAAAATCATTTGGATTTTACATCTTTATCTGGATTTTACAGATTTATCTAAATCTGTTTTGCAGTTTGAATCTGAAACTTCACACAATGTAATTCTCTTTACATTGTGATTATTTATGTGAGGGAAGAGAAAATGTGCTTGTTTTTACATTTTAGTATTATTGTTTAATACTAAATCAGAAAATATTATAATATTGTTAGGATAGTTGATCTTTGAAAAAAACAGTTTGTAGTCATTTAGAAAGTAACAAACAGGAATAGCTATAAAAATGTATTTTAAACGGGCTCATAGTGCATTTAAGTTACCTACCAAAACTCCCTAAATTATGTATTATTCTGTTTTCCCTTTTATATTTAGTAATTATGTTCCAAATTGTTTTTATTTTTATTGTTTTTAGCATTTTTAGTTTTTCTATGCTTACTTCTGGTTATTCATTAATAAGAATAGTAAAATCAAGATGTAAATGTAGATAGCTCTAGATATGCTGGGGAGTTGAGATACATATATACACTTATATACTGATATACTATATTCACAACTTTATAAAATAAGTTCTTTGCAACATTTCTTTTATCTGCCATTACAGAGTTTGGACTCTTCTTATGTTATGGAATTCTGACTAAAATTCACCAAATGGATCACTATCCTTTCTGTTTGAAAGGAATGTGTCACATTTCTCTTGAGTAGTTAAGCAAGAAACTATGTAGAATATATAGTACAAGGACACTAAAGATAAGGAGATTTATTGTGGAAAAGATAAGGAAATCATTAATGAAAGATTTCAGTGACTGTTATTCATCAGATGCAAGAAATATTTACAGTAAAAAAATTACAGATTTAAATTCTTGTATCTCTCCTGGCTGTAGCAAGAGGCTTGAGGCTATTTTCTTATTAGTTTAAAAAGATAGTTTTGTTTTAATATTTGCTTAGAACCATGTCAGTATTGGCTTTTTCAGAATTTATAACTGGCACAGGTTTCATTAGGGCTGATACAATTAAATACACATATGTTTTGTCTTAAATATATTTATTATGTTTATTCACAAAGTGTTATGTGAAAACCTCAGCTGATGTTAACTTATATGAGGTTATCTGATAAGAACCTGGCATAGGGAAGATTGTGACATGGAATATCAATGATAAAAAGCATTCTTTCATTAATTCAAGAAAAGGAAAATATGTTAATAAGTTGGCTGCATATGGTCTAACTCTAAGAGAAGTGAGATGTAAATGAAGATAGTCTGAATGGAATTGATTAATATATGGACAGACACACAAGGGTAAGTTTAATTATAAATGAAAGAGCTAAGATATTTGAAAGGATGATTTGATGACATCTAGTTTGTTATAGGTATATATAAAAAAAGGAATCCATATTTTGGTAATAAATGCATGTTATGCTCTAATAAGTGGTAATAATGGAAGTCTCAGCTATGAGTTTATGGAAAAATGAAAAAATGTGCAACATTCTGAATGTGATTTTAGAATGGGAGAAAATATGTTTTTAGATGACATAAATCAATGCTAACAAGAAAATGTAGAACAGTTATTGGACCATTTGTAAATTCAAGTCTGAACTGATTACTGTTTGCTTAGTAAAAGGACTGTTAGCTTTGTTTTTGCCATGAATATATTCATATGTATATTTAGCAAAGGAATGAAAATATCCCTGAATGTGTTGGGTGTATACGTAGGTGTGTGTGTGTGTGTGTGTGTGTATGTGTGAATGATAGATCACATTTTTCATAGTTTCAAAGATACATCTTGAGGAAAATAGAGAGGGAAGAAAAGAAGTGTAAAATAAGTCTAAGAAAATAGATTAATCTTCCAATATAATGGAAAATAGAAATTAGATGGTTAGAGCATTTTTGCAGATCAGATATTCCTTTTGCCTCTGGCCATGTTAGCAGTTGGATGTTCCTTCAACTTTAATTCAATTATATCATAAGCAACAGTACTACTTGTATTCACCCCAGATCTTCTGAATGGCTCATTTTACCATAGCAGATTATCATTATCTTAATTATGAATATCAGTTTGACTTTCTTGGCATAAACCTGGTATAGGTTGCCATTTCCTTCTCTGAGAATAGCAATAGTGCTAGCACTTAGACTTAGATACCACTTCATAGTGCTTTACAGCCCTCTCTAAGTGGCTCAGCATATTGCCCCAATAATCTGGGTCCTCGTTTTACCAATCCAGAAGGATGGAAGGCTGAGTCAACATTGAGTCAGTGAGAATTGAACTGTTGTCAGTAGACATAATTAGTCTGCAATACTGCATTCTAAGTACTGTGCCATCATGGCTCTTTCATGTATGCCCCAGTATAACTCAAAAATAACTAATGAAAAAGTACAAACCCCTTAACCCTATATGGTAAGGATCTATGCAGGGATGTTTATTTTTAAAAAAGTGAGTGGATAGATATTCCATCAAATGATAGCACCAGGCTGATGTTTTTGGATCTAGAAGGTAGACAAATTCAGACCTGGTTAGCATTTAGATGGTAAGCCAGGAAGTAAAGGATCAATAGTTAAACAGGGAATATGCAAAAAACCCAAAATAAGGACATTGGCAAACCATTTCTGAATAGTTTCCAAAAATACTTCATGGCTATATGCAACAAGTTATTAAAAGTGAATTTCAGCTCCATAAAGACATTATTATATACATATAGATCCTAGTTCAATTTTTGCTACACATAATACTTTTTTTCTATTTCCAGAGAAACAAATGATTATAACCAGAATAAATCTCAAAGATTTTAAATATTGTATCTGCTTTTATTCTTAGTGGCTGTTTAATTGTTATGATCGCATTTTAACCTCTGTTTCTCTCACAGGTCTGGATGTGTGGAGGTGGCATGTTTGACGTTCCATGTTCTAGAGTTGGGCACATCTATAGGAAATATGTTCCCTATAAAGTCCCATCTGGCACCAGTTTAGCAAGGGTAAGTTCCTGGACTTTAATAACCCCTGACTGTTAAATCTACATTACTTTTTTGCTTTATGTTAAGTTATAGTCAAATATCACATTCCCAACTTCCAATATTATCTTGAAGAATTAGGAATAAGAAATCACTTTTAAGGAGTATTTTAGAAATACAAACACAGGCACAGCTTAATAGGAGTGACCAGTCACAAAAAAACACATTTATTAGAAGGAAAGCTGGTAATTGCTATCTTTTCACCCATTATATCAGTTTGCCTTTTTTATTTTCTGGGCAAGTGGAAGCAATTCTGTGACCAGGAGTGCCTGTTGTCAGCTTTAATCTGAATATCAGCTATATGCCCTTTAATGGATCAGGCTAGTCTAATACATCATATACTAATACATCATGTTTACATTTAATTTTTATTTAAAAGCTTTCACAGAAATAAAAGAGAAATGTGAAATAATATATCATAAGTGTAAGGAAAAGAAAAAAGAAATGTAAAGTAAGAAAATAAAATATAGACTTCCAGTTCCAGATTGCAGTGTGTGCAGTCATGCAAAGAGCTCCGTCTCTTCTCCAGCTGCTTTCCCTCCACTGGTAGACCCTTAATCGGGTCGAAAAGTCGCCCTGAAGGGGCAACCACTGTCGAGAAGGCCCTCGTTGACTGCGGAAGGGTGGCAGCTCCTTCCACGGTCCAAGCTAGCTCCTTAGGGCCGTCGTAGAAAAGATTGGCCAGTAAAATGGCTGATTACCCAGCTGCAGCAGCCGAAAGTCAGAAGAACAGCTAAGCGTGAAGAACCACCATGGAGAAATCCGGGTGAGACCTTTCCTTCCCTCTCTTAGCCCCAACTATTTTCCTGTTAAAAGCCTCTGAACGACTTCCCTGCCTTAAGAGAGCGGCATTTGTCTACTTGGGAAAAAAAGCTTTGAACAAAACTATAAAACAGTAAATTTTTATTGGATATTTAATTTTGGGGATATTTTGGGGCCCTGAAACAATCCTTATCATAGAACATTATTATTATTTTATCTACTATGCTGGAGATATTTGCTTTTTTTTCCTCTATTTTCCTAATGAGATAAAAAAAATTAATTCGGAAAAAAAGATTTTACATACTACTGAGGACATCTTGTGGTGAAAAGCATTACTGCAATTGTACTTTCTCTTGGTATTTGAAGATGGATTTGACCTTCAAATGATAATAAAAGGGAAAAGATAAAGGCCTTGAAACAGCTGTGGGCTGAATTTGCTTATTAGAAATTGTGGAGGTGGATATTTGTTGACTTCTAATAAATATAGCTTCTACTAAAAGACTAAAAGACTATTTTATCATGGAAATGGAGTAATCTTACCCACAGCTTGATTATAAGCTTATATTGGAAAAAATCCTGGAAGCTACAGAGTACATGAAATCTTGGAGAAAAATTAAAGATCACTTTGCAGAACCACAAACTGAAATTCAAATCTTAATGGACCAACCTATAGGCCAAGGAACAATAAAGGAGGAACAGACTAGCTTTAAAGAGGTCGATATGCAACAGTGTACACAACTTAAAGAGATGAAGGAAGAAGCTACTGATCAATTGAGCGTTAGAAAAACTCTTAACTTAAAATCTCAAACTGAGATTCTAATTGAACATTCCACAAGTCAACTAAACACTACAGAAGAGGATATTTCACAAGCCTACGTACAAATTATGGAGAACCCTGATGATCAAAGAATGACTTCAACTGAAATACTTGCATTCTTAAAAGCAACAGGAACTGACTTTCAGATGCGATCTATTGAAAGCTGTGATAACCTGGATAATCAACTAATAACTACAACATGGAACAAAATTGACTATACTATCCAGATGATACTGGAAGAAAGGGAAGAGAACTTAGACCAGATTGATGTGTCGATAAATACCCATACTCAAATACTGAGATGCGGTATTATGGAAACTGACCTGGCACAGAAAGAAAGCCAGAGTTAGATTTAAAAATGTGATTTAAAATTTTACTTAATGGGTTAAAAAGGCTTTAGAGATCTGGACTGATTTAACAATTAACTGAGTATGTGAAGTTAGCAAGATGATATTTTGCATAACAATATACTTGTTTTAAACATGATAATTATTTGGACGAGAATTAAATCTTACCTAATGGGCTGAAATGATTTTTTCTATAGAAATAGATTGACTGATAGATTATATAGCTAAAATAGAGTGGAGTAATATTTTTATTTTAAGTAGGATAACTATTTTGTTGTGGAAGAAGAAATAATTTGAGGCGTAGATATTTAGTTAACAGATAGACCTTTTCCCCAACTTGGAATGTTCTTTGGGGAGCCCTCTTTTTATCAGCCTGCTTTTTATAGCTCTCAAAAGTCTTTTTAAAGCAGTTTTTGTGTTTTTCCAAACTTCTTCCCACCCCCTCACCCACTGATCAAGTGTCTGGGAAGTGGAGGGCAATTGAGGATATTCAGATATTGGGTTGAACTCTTTTCCTGTGGCCACTCTGAAAGGTGTGTAGCCGGTGCTGCTGTGCACAGAATTATTGTATGCCACCTCCGCAAAAGGGAGGAGATCAGTCTAGTTTGTCTGTTGGTAGGAAACGTAGCATCTAAGATATTGCTCCACCATTTTGTTAGCGGCTTCTGTGGCCCCATTGGTGGCCGGATGGAAAGCAGATGTTAAACCTTGAGATGATCCAATTAATTTAAGAAAACTTCTCCAAAACTTTGCTGTGAACTGCACCCCCCTGTCCGAGATTATTCGCTTAGGGGCACCATGCAGCTGGTAGATATGTTTCTGGAACAATTTGGTCAGTTGTTGGGCAGATGGGAGTCCTTTGCAGGTGATAAAATGAGCCTGCTTCGAGAACAGGTCTATTACAATCCAGATGACAGTATTTCCACTACTTTCAGGTAGGTCTACTATAAAGTCCATAGCTATTTCTTCCCATGGTTGAGAAGGGTTTGTCACGGGTTGCAGTAATCCAGGGGTTTTCCCCAGGATTCTTTTCATTGTGGCACATACAGTACAACTTTTTACATAGTTTTCCACATCCTTTTTCAGCCCCGGCTACCAGAATTGCCGACGGGTGAGGTGTAGGGTTTTCAAATATTCAAACTGTCCAGCCTGTTTTACATCGTGGCTGTGTTTGAGAGCATTAAGATGGAGTGCTTCTGGCAAATATAACTTCCCCCCCTTTGTAAGCCAAGCCATCCCTGCATGTTAGGGAAGCTTGATTATCTTTGAACCATTGGTCGGTGAGGAGCTCTTGTTTTATTTTCTTTACTCCAGGGTCATCAGGATTGGGGACCCTGCGAGGTGTAAGTTGTGCGGCAGTTTGTGGATTGGGAATAATTGCCTTGTTACCCTCCTCTCGTTCACTTTTGTATTGGGGTAACTGGGATAGCGCATCAGCTAGGAAGTTCTTTCCTCCTGGTATGTACTTTAGAGGGAAGTTGAAGCGGTTAAAGTACTGTGTCCATTGCACTTGCTTTGGGGACAATTTGTGGGGAGTTTTCAGTGCTTCTAGATTTTTGTGATCTGTCCATACCTCAAATGGCACCTTGCTCCCTTCTAGATAGTGACGCCAGTTTAATAGTGCCCATCTAATCACGAAGGCCTCTTTCTCCCAGATTGCCCATCTCCGCTTGCTCTCAGTAAATTTCTTAGAGGTGTAGGCGCAGGGTTGCAGGACCCCATTTTTGTTCTTTTGCAGTAACACAGCTCCAACTGCCACATCGCTGGCATCAGCTTGAATCACAAAGAGTTCCCCTGGGCAGGGGTGCTTTAGAGCCGGTTCAGCGGCAAATAGTCTCTTTAAATTCTCAAAAGCTGTTTGACAGCTCATTGTCCATGCTAGTGGTTGGCCCGGTCGTGGCTTCCCTCCTCCTGTGCCGGTTTTGAGTAGTTCTGTAAGAGGTAGGGCAATCTCGGCAAAGGAGGGGATGAATTGACAATAAAAGTTGGCAAAACCCAGAAAGCTCTGGAGCTGTTTGCGAGTCCTTGGGGGCTGCCATTCGATTATAGTTTTCACCTTGGCTGGATCGATTTCAATACCCTCATTGGAAATTCATTAGCCAAGATAGTCTAATCAGGTTTGGTGAAATTCACATTTCGACAATTTGACATAAAGCTTGACATTCAATAGTTTCTTTAACACTTCTCTCACTAGCTTTATGTGATCAGTCATATTCGTGCAGTATATCAGGATATCATCAAGATACACCAAAACCCCTTTGTACAAGTGATCATGTAGAACCTCATTAATCAACTGCGTAAATACAGCTGGGGCCCCCTGTAGTCCAAATGGCATGACTTTGAACTGATAGCTCCCCATAGGACAGTTGAAGGCAGTTTTCCACTCATCTCCCTCTTTTATTCTCACCCGGTAGTATGCCTCTCTCAGGTCTAACTTAGTGAAGACACTCCCCTTAGCCAGATAATAAATCCTTTAGGAGAGGGAGGGGATATTTATTTTCCACACTCACAGCGTTGAGTCCCTTATAGTCTACGCAGAGACAAAGAGACCCATCTTTTTTCTCTTTGAACAGCACAGGGGCTCCCATGGAAGATTTGGCCCATTCAATAACACCCCTCGCTAGGTTTTTGTTCATGTATTGCTGCATCTCCTCCATTTTGAGGGGGGACATAGCATACATCCTCGATCGTGGGAGTTTGGCTCCGGACACCAGTTCAATGGAGCAATCATTGGGTCAGTGAGGGGATAGGGTATCACATTCTTTTTCACTGAACGCCTCCACCAGGTCCCGGTATTCCTTGGGGATTACTGGTTTGCCTGGAGGCAGTGAGGCGGCCATGTGCGCTCACTCATTGGGTGGCCTAAGATGCCCAGTAACATCTGTTGAATTAATGGGGGAATCAGGCCCTATAGGTAGTCTCACAGTTCTCGTTCCTTTCTCCCACCAGATAAACGGCTTCCATTTGTCTAACCAGGCTAGTCCTAGGATCATCGCCATTTTTGGAGCCACCAGAAAGCGAATAAACTCCCAGTGTAC